AATATTGAAAATAAATTAGAATAAAAAACTTTACATATATTGCGAAAAATTCTCTGTGCCCATACATACATTTGTTCGGCACTGTATATATGTTTGATTTATACCATTGTTTCATTGCAGAAGGACAAACTTGCTGCCGCAGCCAATGGCAAGCTGAGCAACGGCTATGCAAATGGCGCTTTGAAGTCAGCCGAAGAACAGACCAAGGAGATTAACGGCAACCTTAAGGTTCTGGATAATAACAAATTAGAGGGTTATCATAAATCCACATTGACGTCGCCGTCAACTTGCGCCACAACACCGACAACAACGAGACATCGAGTCTTTGCCGCGGCGAATAATTAATTTAAATGTAGTAATCATAACTAATATGTAATTTAAAGCAAAAACAAAAATCGAAAACCTAAAATTAATAGAAATTTAACATTAAGTTATTTGCTCGTAAGGCTTTTGTAGTTATTTGTATGAATGCACGTTATAAAGCAGGAGAAACAGAGTTTAGTGAGAAGCACAAGTAGTACATACTTTTTTTTTTTAATTTTGATCACATACAGTGGTGGTCAAAACGTAAGGAATTACATCCGCGTTTCTAAATTTCTAACTACATCCTGTCATTGCACTTTTAAATGTTCAAATATTACTGCTCGCTTAGTAAATCTTCACACCAGCATGGCCCAAACAGACCTTAATGATCTGTCACTTGTATCTAATCGTTCTGTTTTTCAAACTGGCTGTAATAACTGCTGCTTTTGAGGATTTTACTTATAGCTACAAAACTAGTAAACAATTTCCTTACTTTGTAGCACGTTTTCTCGCTTGGTTTACTATTTCAGTAAAACTAAATCGGTTTTTTTTTTTGCTTGGGGTAACAGGGACCTAATATACGAAAAAAAATGGTTCAACAAAATTTCAATCGAATGTCCTGAAAGCAAATTTAAGCAGCATATAAAGCTCAAAAAAGCTCAAGTTGAAGTATTTTTTCTCGGTTCAAATCGAAAAAGGGACTTTCGGTCATCGATCTCAGGGATCTTCCAAGAAAAAGTGCTCAGCCAGCAGACAGTTTTACTATGTAGAAAGCTTTCACTACTTTAATCAACAATCCTGAGCTCCTAATCGTTGTCTAAAATATAAGCTGACGCCTATTACATGCCTTCTCGCAAGCATGCCGCTTACCAAATGAACCCTAATTTACTAAGTGCAATCACGTAAAAGTAATAAATTTGCAAAAAGAGGATTGAGAATGACCATTTTTCGCGATTTAATTATTAACTATATTAACTGTTGTGGTGAAAATGTAATTTTTGATTAAAAATTCTAAGAAATGTTCCAAACTTAGCCAAAAGAAACACAGTTTTTACCTTAAAAACTGTTATTGGCCAGCCTTTGTAAATTTTTCGTCTCAGTTCCAAATATTTTGTCCACCACTGTACGTTTAAACAAAAAAAAACAAACACTGTAAAGAAAGCTATGTGTAACTATTTACTTAAGTTGTGCTTACAACGAAAAACTAAGAGTATTTTAAAGTGGAAGTCATTTACATAATTTAAACAAAAATATCTCAAGGATATTGGAAATGTATATTTCTAATTTTAAAACTTTTTCGTCGCTTTTTTAGATTAAAAAATCTTTAATCTTTCTACCTTTACATAACTATAGCAAATTTTGTTTTTTCGTTTTCTTTTTCTAGTAGGGATGAATCGTAAATCTTTTATATAAGTACACAACATAAGGCACATGAGACAGGTACATAGCAGCAATTGAGCGACAATAACAACCTTCATGTATTTTGTTTTTGATTTTGTGTTCCCAATTGTCAAAAAAATATAAACATAATTTGACATTTCAGAATTAAATGTACACAAAAAACAACAATTCAGCCACTTTGAATTAAAAAAAAAATCTAAATTGCAACCCTGCAACCTGTTTAATGTGCTTTGGCACAACCCGAAATCTTTTTGTTTACAAACTCCTTGCTTATCTTGCATATCTCTCTTCTATTTACTTTATTTTATTTTTAAACAATTTTGTGATTATTTTGCACTTAAATCCAAACTTTATTATTTTTTAATAAGAGCATACAACTGCTTACATTGTAGTATACTGTGATCTGTTGTTGTGCTGTTAAGCTTTGTTGGTGTTTTCTTTGTTGGTGGACATGGATTTTATGTGGCTTATTATTTTCTTTCTTTGTGTTTATTGTATAATACATAGAATAGCTTTCGAGTTATTAATTTTGTATATTTAAAAGCAGCGACATGCACATAGTTATACGTAAATATGTAACGGGTGATTTTTTTGAGGTTAGGATTTTCATGCATTAGTATTTGACAGATCACGTGGGATTTCAGACATGGTGTCAAAGAGAAAGATGCTCAGTATGCTTTGACATTTCATCATGAATAGACTTACTAACGAGCAACGCTTGCAAATCATTGAATTTTATTACCTAGAAAAGTTGGCAGAAAATCCGCTTTTTTATCGACAAATTTTGTTCAGCGATGAGGCTCATTTCTGGTTGAATGGCTTCGTAAATAAGCAAAATTGCCGCATTTGGAGTGAAGAGCAACCAGAAGCCGTTCAAGAACTGCCCATGCATCCCGAAAAATGCACTGTTTGGTGTGGTTTGTACGCTGGTGGAATCATTGGACCGTATTTTTTCAAAGATGCTGTTGGACGCAACGTTACGGTGAATGGCGATCGCTATCGTTCGATGCTAACAAACTTTTTGTTGCCAAAAATGGAAGAACTGAACTTGGTTGACATGTGGTTTCAACAAGATGGCGCTACATGCCACACAGCTCGCGATTCTATGGCCATTTTGAGGGAAAACTTCGGAGAACAATTCATCTCAAGAAATGGACCGGTAAGTTGGCCACCAAGATCATGCGATTTGACGCCTTTAGACTATTTTTTGTGGGGCTACATCAAGTCTAAAGTCTACAGAAATAAGCCAGCAACTATTCCAGCTTTGGAAGACAACATTTCCGAAGAAATTCGGGCTATTCCGGCCGAAATGCTCGAAAAAGTTGCCCAAAATTGGACTTTCCGAATGGACCACCTAAGACGCAGCCGCGGTCAACATTTAAATGAAATTATCTTCAAAAAGTAAATGTCATGGACCAATCTAACGTTTCAAATAAAGAACCGATGAGATTTTGCAAATTTTATGCGTTTTTTTTTAAAAAAAAGGTATCAAGCTCTTAAAAAATCACCCGTTATATAAGTATGTACATACATACAATATGCAATAAAACAGGAACGTAAATATGTAAACGAAATATACCAATCCAAATCTTGCAACGCTGCAAAATATACATACATACATGCAACAAACAAATGTATACAACAATTAATAAGTAAATAAAATGTATTTTATATTTTTTATGATGAGAAGAAAATATCAGAAATATTTATTTATTTGATTTTTACAATCGCCAGCCGCAAAGAATATTTAGTCATTTGTATAAGAGTTTTGAATCTTTTCTCAATTATAAATGGCCAGAGCTGTTTTTTAAAAGAACAAGTTGTTTGTTTTTCGATTGGGACGCCTGCATTGAGCGCAGAGTTTGCTGAGCGTAGTTCAGGTATTCCTCTGGTCCCGGGTACCCATACCCCTCCTCGTTTACCTCGTTTAAGATCCTTCTGCATTCGGCAGACACTTTCGAGGAAATGTTAATGCCCTGTAAAGATTTAATCACTGCTTGGCTGTCAGAATAAATAGTGACGGATTGTAGACAATTTCAGCCATTATTAGACCATAGGGCGGCCTGCCTTATGGCTGTTATTTTGGCCTGGAAAACACAGCAGTGGTCAGAGAGCCGCCTGCTTAGGTTTAGCGAGAGTTGGAATAAGTATTTAAAATGTCCTTTTTTTGTCCTTGAATATCCTTAGAAATTTCCAATATTTATTTTTGAAAAGAACATATGGCAAGGACTTATTAGTCTATTATTATTATTAACTATCACTTCCTCGAATTTCGTCCTTATAACTTTATTAGTCTTAGATAAAAAAAAAGTTGTACACTTATCTTTATACGATATTGATAGTTACAATATACATAAATGAAGATACTGGAATCATTATTATGGAACCATGTAATAGATTGGCGCTTACACATATGTTAGTGTTTGGCCGAGCTTCTCCTCCAACTTGTGGCTTGCGCCATGATATTGTCACACAAAGCGGAGGGACCTTTTTTTGATCAGCTGTTTTCCTGGTGGGCAAATTGCTGTTGGCAAAAATTGTTAGAGCAGAAACTAACAGCTTTCCCTCAAAATGAAATGTCACTTTGCTCTCTCACTTTCTACAAATTTGCAAATTTTTTGCGTACGTGATCGCAAAAAGTTGATAATTTATTAAACATAATAAAAATAAAAATACTTAGGAATCTTTCGGCCTTGTTCCTATCACCGAATAAAATAAAAGTTTTGGTAAGTAAATGTTCACATTTGGTACTAAGCAATAACAAATTTTTAAAATGATATTATAATGTTCTAATAATTAAAGAAATTAGTAAAACAAGCTTTAAAATTTTAAAGAAGTGATGAAGAACTTATTATTTTTTTATTTAAAATTTGTGTTATGTACTTTGAGCCTGTGCCAATGAGTAGAAAGTACTATGGTGAAAAATCTTTTTACAATGGTAAGAAAAATTTACGATTCTGCTGTGCCAATTCGTAATTTTTTACTGCTGGAAATTTTGGACAGTTGCTCTGGTGCAAAAGAGATTAAGCAATTGAAATGCAGCAATTATATAAAAAAAAATATGTCTTTACTGACTTTAATTCTTCTAGAACTGAAAGCCATGCGTTTATTAAACAAAAAACATTTCAAAACCGTCAGGTAGGTGTGATTCTTGCTCGGCTCTGAAATTTTCATTCACCTCGTAGTTGTCAAAAATTTAACATCCCGAGTTCTTGTCTATTAATTAGCACAGGCACTCAATAAGAATTTAAACAGGTATGTTATTTAACAAGAATTAAGTGAGGTATAATTTCAATTGTATTATAATATATCGTCACCTGAAATGCAAAAAGTCGTAACTTATAAAAAATTCAAAATTCACTTTTTGATTACTATGATGGATTTCATCGAATTACAACTCCCCACATCGTTTTATGAATAAAAAAATATATTGTCTCGACTTTTTCCATTTCCAAAAGACTGTCCCATTGGCCCTCGCGAACTTCGTACACATGAACTTGCAAGAAACAGCTGCCCGAAATCTAAAGTAGGTTATTCCTTTAGTTTAAATTCAAAATTAAAGAAATATTTCGTATACTTTTTACAAATGAGATTACAAGTATCCAGCAGGTAAATAGCCCATCGGAAAAATGTTTAAATCTTCCTCAGCCATATCCCTTGATCTTGCTAACACATAAAATTCGAGGAATTATAAAACAAAAGCTTAAAATGTACAGATTCCTGGAGAAATTCAATGAAAATTACCACCTACATTGTTTTTCGTTTAAACAGAAGAAAAATAAAAAGAAACATATATTCACCACGGCTTTCGTTTAACACTTTACTTTTTGAAACTATTTTGAACAAATTATTTTTTGTTTCACAAAAACGACCCTGCGTGCCTAGAACGCGTGTGTACCGATGATTTCATCCCTGGCATATTCATCCCAGAGGAAGGCAGTCGCCAAATTCACCCAAGGTTATTTACTGGTTATATTGTGGACGTAAAAGCCGTCAATTTTGGAAGGTACTCATAAATATGAAGAAATTACGTAGATTTTTATATTTTGTACCTTAATAAGTTTTATTATCATTTTACATGTATACATTTTTTGAAAAAAAAAAAAACTCCAACAACCGTTGATGGAATCTTTTCGAACTCATAAATC